TGCTATGAGCAACCTGTCTTCCCATTTCTTGGGACATAAAGTAGAGGCTCTGGGCATAAGCTAGGAGAGAACCAGTGGGAGATGCGCTGTCGTTGTCATTGGGTTAAGAGACTTTAAGTGCCTACTGTGTGCTAGCCAATTTGTATCCATAATCACACTCTTGTTTGTTTGTGCCAATACCAGGGCTTTAAGTTAGGCCCTTGTACTCCTGCTCTACATTTTCACTCACACCTGGCTCTCTCCCACTTGAGCCAAGCTTCCAGTCTAGGTGTTTTGTGTGTGTGTGTGTGTGTGTGTGTGTGTGTGTGTGTGTGTGTGTGTGTGTGTGTGTGTGTACCAGTACCATGGTTTGAACTCAGGGCCTCAGGCTTTCTATGGCTTTCTTGCTTATGACTGGTGCTCCACCACTGAGCCACACCTCCAGTCTAGCACTTGCACTTGCTCTGATAATCCTAAAGGTAGATAATAATGATCACAATTCAGTGCCGAGTCCAAAGCCAGGTGGGCCTGGTGTCCCTTCCCACATCTGTCCTCATGAGGCCCTACACCCCCAAGAGTCCTGGGTCAGGAGGGACACCCTGAGATCATTCTGCCCTCACCCTCACAGCCCAGCGGGAGTGGGAGATGCCTGCAGTAATCGATAGCCCAAAGCCGGACGGGGCCACTGAGGGGAGGGAAGAAGGACGCTCCTGTCCTAGGAGGTTCACAGCACATCTGTAGCAGTGCTTTTTTTTTTCTGGTTTGAACTCAGGGCCTGGGCACTATCGCTGAGCCTCTTTGAACTCAAGGCTAGCATTCCACCACTTCAGTCACAATGCCACTTCCAACCTTTTCTGAGTAGCTTATTGGAGATAAGAGTCTCATGAACTTTCCTGCCCAGGGTGGCTTTGAACCACGATCCTCAGATCTCAGCCTCCTGAGTAGCTGGGATTACAGGCGTGAGCCACCAGTGACTGGCTTGTAGCAGTGCTTTTGATGAGGCCTGGATGGGGCCCTGCTGCCCCTTGTCACCCCTGACCTTGGCCGATGCTCTTCCTCTCTGAGCCTCAGCCTCCTGGTCTGCTGAATGGGGTGTCTACGCCTGCTTCATAGAGTTCTTCAGACACTTGGCATAGTGCCTGGCACATAGTAACTGCTCAGCAAAGAGTAACTGGTCTGGTAATCGTGTAAAAGGGGTGAGCTGAGGTGCACAGGCAGGCATCAGTACTGCATGCCATGCGACCAGCCACTCCCACATGCGAGCTTCCAGTTGTCAGATCTGGGGGGCACCGGGGGGAGCAGGCAGCTGGGTCAACCCAGAGGACGGTGTCTGCCTGGATGGCAGCCGGGTGTGCCACTTGTGAGGGGGAGGAAGGGAAGGGGTTTCTGTCACCAGCATCCGGGGCAGCAGCTGCCTAGCCCTCCCTGGTGAGAGCCATTCAGGGAGAGCACACAGGAATGCGGGCTCCCTGCCAGCCCCAGCGCTGAGAGAACTGCTGAGCCCCCAGGCTCTGTGCCATGCTCTGGGTGCCCCTGGCCTTTCCAGGTAGGGCTCTCAGCCCAGCCCCAGAGGCCGCGTAAGATTGAGAATGTGGGACCCTGAGGAACTAGGAAGAATCATGAAACCCACCTGCTGTGTGACCCTGGGCTGCTCACTGCCCTCTCTGAGCCCCAATTTCCCTCTGTAATAGGAAGCACATAGCCAGACTGTATGTGGGTCATATGACCTGACCTGCACCACCGATGTTCCAGCTGAGGGCTTCCAGCCAGGGATGCTCTATCTCTTCCCACCCAAGAACTTCATTCTCTGCTGGCTCCTTGGTGGCCCCTTGTCACCTCCTTGCCAGCCAGGGGGGGACACGCTCTGTCATTCCACCCTCTATGTTGCTGGGTGCTTGGGGAGGGCTGACAGGGGCTGTGGGGGACAGGGGGTCCCCGGGCCACCTTGTCCACCCCATTCCCCAGTCTCATCCTCCATGAGCCCCATCCACCAGACTGGAGCCTAGGAGGGGCTCAGCTGGTTTTCATCATTCCCAGTATCATAGCGATGTTCATAAAAAGTTCATCAAGTACCTCCCATTGTTGCACTGAAATCAGCAGGTTTGGAGCACCTGCTATGCAGAGCTGTTCTGTATCCAGAATCTCACTCTCTTTAATCGTCCTGCAGGCAGGCAGCACCAGCAACGATACTGGTCATTGTGTGTACGCGTATGCTGTGTGCTGGTACTGGCACTTGAACTCGGGGCCTCGTGCTCTTGCTTAGCTCTTTTGCTCACTCTACCACTTGAACAGCACCTTCACTTCTGCCCTTTTTTTTCCCTGCTAATTAGAGATCAGAGTCTCTCGCATTTATCTGCCTGGGCTGGCTTGGAATCAGCATCCTCAGATCTCAGCTTCCTGAATAACTGGGATTACAGGCCTTAAGCCATGGCACCCTAAGGTGACTGGCCATCCCTGCTACAAGTAGCATGGGGGGGGGGGGGCTTAGTGGAGATTAGGCCCTGCTCTGAGACCCTGTGTTTAATCCTTGCCCCGTTTCTTAGCCAAGTCAAAGGACTATTGGCAGAGATGGGTAAATCAAGTCTCAGGGCAGGGGGTGGGAGTCAGAGACTCAAGTGGGGTCACTCAGCCAGCAGGTGCCTGAGCTAGGGTTTGAGCCCATGTCAGTCTAGCAGAGTTAGTGTGACTACACACATTGAGGCTGTCCTGGGTGAGTGGGCCTAGACCTGTGGGCCTCAGCCACAGACCACATGCAGAGCTGCAGAGCTGTACCGCCAGCCCCCTCCCCACAGCCGGCTTCTCCCAGCCCACGTGGCCTCACCATGGCCACTGACTGCTTGGTGCTGCGGCAGCCCCTGCATTGTCCCCCTGGGGCTGGAGCCTGCCTGGATGCATCCCTGGCAATTGATTAGTCTTTGATTGAGACAGACAGCGGTCTAAGCCGCAGCCCAGCCAGCGCCCGGAGGTTGGCAGCGCCTGAGAATCCAGAGCCCAGACTTCCATCCAAATTCAAACACTTTATCTGCACTTGCCTGGCTTTGGGAGAAATTCAAACACTTGCACAGGGGCTCCCAGGGCCAGGGTCAGTGTCTGGCCCTCTGTGTCCTGGCCAGTTGCTCTCTGCTATGCAGTCTCCTCTTCCTCCATCCTGACCTCCCAGGATGACCCCCGGAGTCAGAGAGAAGGACCTCCACCCCGGCTAAATCTCACTAGGGTGATGGTGGCTGCTGTGTGGGGGAAGCTCCCTGATGCCTCTGCTGGGTGTAGGTGTGTGTGAGCCCAGTTCTCACGGTGACTCCACCCGCGTTGGCACCCGCCGCCTCAGGGCTCCTCAGCTTCAACCTCAGCGACATTTAGGGCTGGATGGTCTTGGTGGTGGGGACTGTGCCATGGACTTTAGGGCACTTAGCTGTCCTGCCCACTGCCCACCAGATACCAATAGCACACATGTGGGGGGGGGAGACATGCAGCCCCGGGGGACACACCCCCTCCTTACAAACCACCATGCTGCAGGGCACTGGTTACTCAGGCCAGTCATCCTAACTACCCAGGAGGCTGAGATCTTTAGATCTCGGTTGGAAGCCAGCCCTGTAGACAGCTCCAAGAGACTCTTATCTCCAGTTAACCACCAAAAAGCTGGAAGTGGAACTGTGGCTCAAGTACGAGAGCGCCAGCCTTGATTGAAAAAAGGACAGTGCCCAGGCCCTGAGTTCAAGCTCCAGAACCAACACACACATAGTCAGTGCTTTGATGCGGATCCCAGAACCCCAACATATTCACTGAGCTTCATTAGATCCCAGCCAGGAAGTGGAAGGCCAGCTCTCTTGAGGGGCCCACTGGACCTCTGCAGCTTCTGCCTCTCCCCTCCCCCTCCCCCCAAGTTGCAGGCAGTTGCTCCTCAGGCGCCTCCTCCTGCCCCGCCCGCCGCCCTCAGGCCCTCTCCTATCTGCCACACACAGTCCATCACCCCAGACGGGAAGAAGGTCAGGGGACCCTGTGTTCCTTTCAGGCCCCCAAGCCCCATCCTTCCTGTGCTCCATCACCCCAACCACTGACTCACTTGTGAGTGAACTATTTATAACCCCCGGCACACATGCTTCCTCAGCTGCAGGCAGACACCGGCTGTGTAGAAAGGCAGCCCCTGGACATGGGCTAGGGTCCCGAGCAACTGAGAAAGCTTAGGAGCTCCGGGGAACTTAGGGGAGAAGCCTAGCAACTTCCTTACTGCTGTATGACCTTTGGCCAGTCACTCTACCTCTCTGTACCTCTGTTGTAAAATAAGATCCTGATCCGAAGACAGACTTCAGGAAGTGACTACTACTAGCTGTCCGGAGTGGTACACAGCTGGTGTAGGTGGGGAAAGGCCAAGGGGCGTCCTCAGGAGTCCAGAGGTGGAGCTGGGATGGAGTGTGTGTTCACACGCTAGGACTCAGCCCCTCCCTGTCGCTTTGCTGTCACCCAGCCAGCTTCAGACCCATGTGGGGCTTTGTTAGGCTCTGAAAAGCCACGCTCCCCGCCCCCTCCTCCAGCTGTCCCAGGAGGAGGCAGGCAGATGTTTGCTTAGCCTGATAATGCCCACTCCACCAGCTCCACCCAGGCAGCGCACAGGCTGGCGGCTGCCCCTGGCCACGGTCACCCTTCAGGAGGAGGGTAAGGAACTGGGAGACGCTGCCACACCCTGTCTGTCTCTGCCCTACTGTTGGAAAAAAGCTGGAGGGGGGAGAGTAGACTCCTTATGGTGTCCTTATAGAACCAGGCTGCTCAGCCCTCCCCCACTCCCTCCCCCTCTTCCCCTCACAAAAAGAGAGGTCGCATTTGGGGGGCTTGGGGGTTCCACTCAGTGTTAGACGTGTCTGGCATGCCTGATAGCTCAGAGGCCGGGGAGGTGCTGGGCCTGGCCAGAGAGAGCCCCCAGCCGGCCTGGGGGAATCCTCACTCCGTGCTGGATGGAGACAGGTGCCCTCTGCCCCGCGGCCTCACTCGTCCAGATCTGGGCTGTGCCGGGGTGTCCTTACGAAGCTGTGTTCGCAGGTACGATGCTGGGCGGGATGGCTTCATTGACCTCATGGAACTGAAGCTCATGATGGAGAAGCTGGGGGCCCCCCAGACCCACCTTGGCTTGAAGAACATGATCAAGGAGGTGGATGAGGACTTCGACAGTAAGCTCAGCTTCAGGGAGGTGAGCCCTACCCCCACCCGGGGCTGCCTGAGGCCCCGAGGGTCTCCTCCTGTGCTGTGTAGTAAGCATACATTGAGTGACATCTGTATACTGTCCAACCCTGGGGGTACAGAGAAAGACCCTGTGCTTCTAGGGGGACCCTAGAGAGGGTGCATCACAACACTGGGGTTCAGGTCAGCCTGTTCTTCATTGAGCCCATCTGGCAGCAGTGGTGCCCTGGCACAAGGGGCGGGTTCTTAGAAGCCCCCTGAGCCTCCTGCGCCCAAAGGAGGCAGGGGGGGAAGGAGGTGGCAAGGGCCACTGGGAAAACTGGAGGCCACCAGGGAGGAGGAAGGACGTCAACCCACGGGGATGGTCCAGAGTCCAGAACACAGGTTCAAATCCTTGGGGCACTGGGAGTCCAGGCGAGTCTTCTACTGTCTCTGGGCCTTCCTCGTTCCCGTAAGATAGGTGTACGGTCCCTTTCAGGGCCCAGTGGGAGACAGGGATAAACGTGCTCACCCCTATAATCCCAGCTACTCAGGGTGCTGAGATCTCAGGGAGATGGTGCCAAGCCAGCCGAGGCAGGAAAGTCCCGGTGACTCATCTTTAATGAATCAGCAAAAAACGCTCAAAGTGGTGGGGCTGGGAATGTGGCTGGGTGCTAGAGTGCTTACCTAGCGTGCAGAAGCCCTCGTCCGAGTCCTCAGTGCCATCTGAACAGAAAAAGCCAGAAGTGGTGCTGTGGCTCAAGGGGTAGAGCTCTAGCCTTGAGCAAAACGAAGCTTAGGACAGTGCCCAGGCTCTGAGGTCAAGTCCTAGAATTGGCCAAAAAAAAAGCTCAAAGTGGAGATATGGCTGAAGTGGTAAAGCACCAGCCTTGAGTAAAAAATGCCTAGTGAAAGTGTGAAGCCCTGATTCAAGCCGCAGCACCAGCTGGATGATTCTGGGTGTGGATAGACACAGGACTGCGTAAAGCAGGGTCCTGAGCAGACAAGAGATGAGGGGCCCAGCTTCCCATCATGCAGAGGGGCAAATAAGAGGCTCAGAGAGGGAGGGGCAGGGAGGGGCCACAGCCCAGCCTCTGGCTCCTGGTCCTGGTGTGAGCAGGCCTCCCTCTCCAGGGCAGGCCTGAGTCCAGGCCCGGTGTGTCCTGTGACTGACAGCCCACCTGTCCCGTTGTAGTTCCTGTTGATCTTCCGCAAGGCGGCAGCTGGGGAGCTGCAGGAGGACAGCGGGCTGCACGTGCTGGCCCGCCTCTCCGAGATCGACGTCTCCACCGAGGGAGTTAAGGGAGCCAAGAACTTCTTCGAAGCCAAGGTGAGGAACCGGGGGCTGGGCAAGTCTGGACTGGTAGCCTGGGCCCTGCCCACCCCGTTCACCCAAGCCTTCCTTCTTAAGGCCTCCCTCACCTCCCTCTGGAACATTCCAGGCTCCACTGGAGGGCAGGAAATCAGGACAGCATCAGTCATTCTATTATGGGGCCCTGCTCTGCACCAAATATAAATTCCATCTTTGTTTTGTCTTCTTTTGTTGGATTTTTTGTTTGTTTCTGGGGTTTGAACTCAGAGCTTTGTTCTCATTCAGCTTGCTTTCTGGGCTGGAGCTTTTCACTTGAGCCGTCCCTCCTGCTTGACATTTTGCTGGTTAACTGAAAATAGAGTCTCACAGGCTTTCTGCTCTGGCTGGCCTCAGACCACATCCTCCAGTCTCAGCCTCCTGAGAAGCTAGGATTAACAGGCGTGAGCCACCAGTGCCCAGCTATGAATTTTGTTTTTCAATCCCATATAAGAACCTGTGAGGCCAGAGTTATCAAGCACGGGTTGTGAGTAGAGAAACTGAGGCTCAGAGAGGTGAATGCAGTGTTCCACCCGCAGCCTGACCTGGTGGAAGCCAGAGCTGTGTGTGTAGGCAGATGGGACAAGGCTAAAGACTGGGCCAGGGGCCATCCCAGATCAAAGTCCCCGCGGGCAGTGTGGAGGCCCCTGCAAGCCTAACCCTGCGCCCCCGTGGCCTAGGTACAGGCCATCAATGTGTCCAGCCGCTTCGAGGAGGAGATCAAGGCAGAACAGGAGGAACGGAAGAAGCAGGCGGAGGAGATGAAGCAGAGGAAAGCAGCCTTCCGGGAGCTGCAGTCCACCTTCAAGTAGGGCGGCCCGGGCGGCCCTGCCCCGCCCTGCCTGGTGTGTCACAGGGGCAGGGCCTGGGCTGAGCTGGAGCCCTGGCCGCCCATCTGACAGAACCACAACTAAAATCCTAAATCGTGTGTGTGATCGGAAGCTTTGCGAAGGGTCTCAGGAGTGGCCCGGGCCCTCACCGCCCCTCCCGCAGCCACCAGCGCAGGCCCTGCAGCCACCCCTGCGGCTCACACCCCGCCGCCCCGCTGCCTGCCCAGGTCCAGCTCCCGCCATTCCACTCCTGTGTCCTGTGTGCTCACACCCCCACCCCCCAGCCCCTCCACCGGCCCTTAACCAGCGGGCCAACCTGCCCTGGAACTGAGGAGACAGGGGCGCCACCAGAGAGCAGGACCTAAGGGACTGTGGGAGATGGGGGGTCCCCAGGACCTTGGCCTCCAGCTCTGCCCCCTCTCTCGGGTGGAATGGGAGCGGCCTCTGCCAGGCAGGGTAGGGGGCTACCATGCCAATCTACCTCTCGGGCCCACTCTGCTGGGCTGCCCTGGGGTTGCCGGCAGGGGCAGCGGCTGGGGAGGGCAGGGTGGGAGAGGAATCAATCCTTCACCGAGAGAAGAGCCCAGCTCTCTGCCTTGACTCCCCCCATGTGTCCAGGAAGTGCTTTGACAGCGAGTCTGTTCGCACCTGGCCCCTGTCCATGCTGTGTTGTGCCCACCCTTCTAGGAAGCATGGGGACCCCGTGCCCGTCACCTGCTGGGGGATGGCCCCCCCCATGCTCGCTCGCGTGTGTCCGTGTTGCCTGTTGCTGTGTTGTGAAGCTGTGACCCCCGCCCCCAAGTGAACGGGCCAGAGTTATGCAACTTTCTGTGTGTCTCCTGACGGTGTCCCTGCCTTTGGAATTGGATAACTCTTTATTTTACTACGCTGTCCTGAGAGCCCCCACCGCGCCGCTGCCGTGGCCGGCAGAGCTTTTATTTTTTTGGCATCAAAGTGAGAGGGTGGGAGGGGCTGAGCCAGCGTGGCGGCCTTGGGCGCCGCCGCATTGGCCTTAGAGGATGCGTTTATACAGATGAATATAAGATTTTCTTTGGGCTTGTCTTGCATTTTCTCTTCCCTCCCTTCTCACCACCCCTGCCCCTCTCCCCTAAAACACAAAAACAAAAAAAGATACTTCTTCATTTGGTGGTACGATTATTTTTTTTAACTAAAATGAGATAAAATTGTATATTCGTATGTGTGTGTGTGGTTCTTGACGGTTCCTGGGGAGGGGAGGAGCTGGAAATGAGGGGACAGGGACGGGGTGCCTGGAGTCTGGGCACCCATGCCAGAGGCCTCGGGGACACTTCCTAAGGGGGAAATTGCCCTTTGATGCCCACATGGTGCCACCAGACATTAATCTGAGCGTTTACTTGGTCCTCAAGCCAGCCCTCAAAGGGGGTGTGCTATTACTTTTGTTTTACAAGTAAGAACTGGCTGGGAGGCCTGAGCTGGATATGGCGGCTCATGCCTGTCATCTTAACTACTTGAGAGGCTGAGATCAGGGGGATCGAAGTTCAAGGCCAGCCCTGGCAAAAGTTCTGTTTCTCAGCCAATAAGCCAGGGTGCAGCTGGGGCCCACCCGTCATCCCTGCTCTGCTGGATCATAAATAGGACAGTGGTCCAAGCAGGCTAGGGCAAAAAAGCCAGACCCTACTCAGTAAGTCAAAAAGGGCTGGCTCATGGCTTAAATGTCAGAGCATCTAGCAAACAGAAGACCCAGACTTCAAACCCCAGTATCACAAAATAATCTAGGAGGCCTAAGTCTCTGAAGGGTCACAGGACAGCAGAGCCAGTGGATGCAGCCAGCCCTCCCAGTGCACAGCTGGGCCCACCACCCTGTGGCCAAGGGTTGTAGTGCACCACTGCAGTCCATGCTGGAGGAGCTCTGATTCAAGGCTGGACTGGGCTGCAAAAGGGAAACCTGTTGGCTTGAATTATGAATTGATGTGCCACCTGCCATCCTGAGCAGGCCAGAGCACCCCCTGGGGAGGGCAGGGCTGGGACCAGCAGCTGCTCCTGTGCTTCTGAACACAGCGCCACCTGGTGTCCTCATCTCCCTCCGGCTCACCCCCAGGGAGAACGGGGACCTTCATCTCCCCAGCCCTGTGCCTGTAGCACAGCCCAGAGGGTCAGGGTAAACACAGGACTTTCTCATTAGACTTGGCATTACTGCCCCCTGGCTGTCACAGTTGATACTGCAAAAGTCCAGATGTCCCTTGCCCCTTGGCCTTGCTCTCAGCTTCTGGAGGTATATTTCCGGGGTCCACCACCCCTATATGTTCTAGATGCCTGAGAAGCTGTCACCACCAACACAAGATTGTAGGTTAGCCATGGCCGTTCAGTGTACCAGAGCCCTGCAGTGGGAGGGAGGGGTCAGGAGGAAGGCCCCTGTGTGCTCAGGGCTCTCATCCCATGCTCCCGTGGGACTTAAGGGAAGCCTGGCAGCCCCTCAACTCACCCCGGAGGGGGTCCCACATGCTCTAACATTTCAGCCATGACCCTCATCCAAGAGCAACAGCTGCCACTCGAGTCCTGGCCCCAAAGCCAAGAAAATTTCAACCTCTGTCAGTGGCACCTGCTCCTTTCCCAGGCTCGCCCCATTCCCAGGGCCTTGTCTGCCCCCCCCACACACACACACCCAGCCTGGCCTCCCACACGTCCCTCTGGTGCTTTTCCAGCACCGCCTCCTCCTGAGCAGCCCACCAGGCCTGCGGAACCCAGGGTTGTGCCAGGGGAGGTAGAGAGCCTGTCAGCATCTCCCTCAAGCCCTCTGCTCCTTCTGGCCAGGGATGGATCTGTAGAGAAGGGGCCTTGCAAGCCCCATCCCGCCAGCTCCCACCCAGAATGCCTCGCCTCAGGCAGAGCTCCAGCCCTGGACCATCACCCTGGCTGGCAGGGAGCTCCCTGGGGTCATCTGGCCCCGTCCTAGCACTGAGTCTGCACGAGAGTAGGGCGGAGGGAGTATGGGGAAAACGAGCGAATTAATTACTCTTTCTTTTGCATATATTTCATGGCGGTCCCTCACAATCAGGCAAGTAAAATGATGACATCTTTAAATATGCACATTTTAATCAGCTCCACACCCCCACCTTCTCCAATCACAGGAAAGCCACTCAGAGCTCCTCCTCCGACTTCTCCAGCCAGCAAACAAGTCAGTCAGCCTGGTGGGCATCACAGTGTGGACACTGGGAATGATGACCCCTGACCAGGGGCGCCATGCATAAGCACAGCGGGGGGGGGAGGGAGGAAGGGAGGAAATGGGGAGCGTGGCAACAGCCAGAGACAACAACCACCCCTGCCCAGCTGCCCTTCCAAGGCCCGGACCCCCAGAACCACTCAGAATCTCAGCCATTTCACCACAGATGCCTCAGGAGGACACGCTCAAGTCCCTGTGTGCTCCTGAAGGCCCCATGCCACCTTGAGGGATCCATGGAAGTGTTGTTCTTCCTTTAAAATCAGCAAGGGGTGGGGGCTGGGAAGGTGGCTCAGTGGTAGAGTGCTTGCCTTGAATGCCTGAGGCCCTGGGTTTGATTCCTCAGCACCACATAAACAGAAAAACTCAGAAGTGGTGCTGTGGCTCAAGTGGCAAAGTACTAGCTTTGAGCTAAAGAGCTGAGGGACAGTGCTCAGGCCCTGAGTTCAGCAGGGGGAAGTCCAAAATGAGTTCTATATAGTCATACACTCATAAATTACAATTTTAATTATATTTTGGTGGAGGACAGTGTCAACAAAGCTCAAGCCTTCAAAGAATCAGATGGTAGGTCAAGCATGATGATTCATAGCTGTAATCCCAGCACTCAGGAAGGGAAGAAAGGATTTCAAGTTTGAGACCAGCCTGGGCTACATAGGGAGACCTTGTCTCAAAAAGAAAAACAATCAAATGACAATGACAATTTTGGGGGGGAGAGGGTCTGATCGTGGGGCCTGAACTCTGGGCCTGGGTGCTGTCCCTCAGCTCTTCAGCTCAAGGCTAACACTCTACCATTTGAGCCACAGTGCCACTTCCAGCTTTTCTCTTTTTGCTTATGTGGTGCTGAGGAATCGAACCCAGGGCCTCATGCATGCAAGGCAAGCGTGCTGCCACTGAGCCACCTTCCCAGCTCAAATGACAATTTTTTTAAATCCCCACTTTAGAGATGAGACGTGTAAGCACAGAGAGGTTAACTTGTGTATACAAGGTCACACAGCCAGGAAGCAATGGCACTGGGTTTCCCTCCACCCTGGGCTTAGTCCATCTCATAAAGCCCCCAGCATCCTATCTTCGAATCTGAAGCTGGAGTCTCTCTGGGACAATTATTCATTGTTGTCTTCCACACAGGGCCCTCCTTGACTTATAACAAGACTTCTGCCTTAAAGTCTTGCTGTCTGCACCTCTGAAAACAGAAGGAACTAGGAGCCCCTCCTGATGCTCCACTGTGAGCATCCAGACAATAGTGACTCTCTTCCTCCAGGCACACTGGCTCAGGCTTATAATCTCAGGCACTCAGAAGGCAGGATTGGACGTGGAGCTGTGGCTCAAGTGGTAGAGCACCAGTCTTGAGCAAAAAAGCTAAGGGACAGTGCCCAGGTCCTGAGTTCAAGCCCCAGTCCTGGCACACAGTAAAAAAAAGTAAGGCTGGGAGTTGGTGGCTCACGCCTGTAATCCTAGCGACTGGGGAAGCTGAGATCTGAGGACTGCGGTTCAAAGCCAACCTGGGCAGGAGAGTCCGTGAGACTCTTATCTCCAATTAACCATCAGAAAATGGAAGTGGTGCTGTGGCTCAAAGTGATAGAGCACTAGCCTTGAACACAAAAGCTCAGGGACAGTGCCACAAACTGACCAAACTAAATGGGTAGTAGGTGGTTTGAGGCCAGCACAGGTTAAAAGTTATAAAGACCTCTTCTGAACAAACAAGCCAGGCCTGGTGGCATACTTCTATCCTCTCAGCATTAGAGACTATAGGTAGGATCATGGTTCCCAGGTCCAAGGCTACCTTGTACAAAAAGCAAGATCCTACTCAAAAATTAATCTAAAAGCAAAAAAAGCTGGAAGCATGATTCAAGTGGTAGAGCACCTGCCTAGAAAGTTCCAAGTCTGGAGCTGGGAAGTTGGCTCAGTGGTAGAGCACTTGCCTTGTATGCATGAGGCCCTGGGTTCAATTCCTCAGCACCACATAAGCAAAAAGAAAAAAGCCAGAAGTGGTGCTGTGGCTCAAGTGGTAGAGCGCTAGCCTTGAGCTGAAGAGCTGAGGGACAGCGCCCAGGCCCAGAGTTCAGGCCCTACCACTGGACCCAAAAAAAAAAAAAAACTCCTGCAAGTCTGAGCTCAAACCCCAGTACTACCCAGAAAAGACCGTGTCACCTGGCTCTGCATCCAGTACACCCGTGGCTGTATGTGTGCATGTACTGCTGGTGTGAACACATCAGTGTGCAACGTACAACAGGGTCTTGCTGACATGCAGGAACTTCTGAGGACCCCAGTGAAAGATTGAGACTTGAGACTTTTTGCTTTGTTTTTTAGCTATATTTTTTGTGCTGGTCCTGGGGCTTGAACTCAAGGCCCCTGAGCTTTTTCACTTCAGGCTGGCACTTTACCACTTGAGCCACAGCTCCACTTCCAGCTTTTTTGGTGGTTAGAGGTAAGAGCCTCGCAGACTTTCCTGCCCAGGCTGGCTGCTCATTTTCCCAGCTTGCTCAGCAGACACAGAGGAAACTGAGGCCCAAGGAGGCAGCACAGGGTCTGGGGTGCCACCTGGTCAGTCACTGACATCGGCAGAATCCAGACCCCATTTCAATCTCATAACTTGCTCAGTGTGCAACTCTGCTCACTGTTCTGGTCTCCGGACTGGTGGAGGGTGGGGAGGGGGTGGGGGTAGTGTAGGGCTTGTCTACCAATAGATCCAGTGGCTTGGGAAGTATCCACTGCCCTAACAACCCAATCCGAACCCACCCTGGGTCATAGTTCAAAGCCAGCCCAGTTAGAAAAGTCCCCATGAGACTCTTACCTCCAATGAGCCACTTCAAAAACTACACATGGCACTGGGGCTCAAGTGGTAGAGCACAGGACTCAGGCCCTGAGTTCAAGCCCCACAACCAACCAAAAAAATAGTATACGCTTATTTTAAAAGATAAAAAAGAAGCTCAGGCATATAAAAATAT